CCTACACAGATATGCAAAATAATATTATAATTCAAGGTTAAGCATTACAGAGTTACACTCACATTGTTTAAAGCCTCCCCTCCCACCCTCTTTTAATATTGTAAAGCACACAATTTTTATCTATCGGAAATTAAAAATTTTATAAGAGATTAAATTAAACACATTATGTTGACACAACACATTGTGTTATGACTCTTAAACAGTCACAATATTTAATTGAGAGAATTTCATTCTTCAAAATTTTATTGGCTCTCATTAATTAAAAAAGTTCAATTTTAGGAAATTCTACTGTACCAACAAAATAATTTCATTTTTATTTAATTTGTTTTTGCTTCGAAATCTCTAGTACTCCGGGTATACATGAAATATGTAAGAGCAAAATTTTGAAATGATCCCAAAAAAAAAAAAAAAATATTAAAAAAAAACCTATGAATTATTTTTGAGGTGCATTATTATTCATATTTAAGTAAAAATATCTCTTTTTTTTCATAATTTAATAATTCGCTACATTTTCCGGATAATAAAAGAAGCATCTACCGCAAAAAAAAAAATAAAACAGCAACAACAAAATTTAATAAGTAAGCAATAAAAGCAGTGTAGTATTCACTGTTTCTACAATTTTATTATTTAGTCATTTGGGACTCGATGAAAATATTTTGTGGTCATAAAAGAATAAAATTGCAAGAACGCAAAGATAATAATAACAATAAAGAAAAAAAAAAAGAGAATTTTTGGCCAACATAATAAATCTCCTAAAAAAAAATTTTATAAAAATGATTTTTCTTGTATATGAAGAAAAAAAAAGGAAAAATATTGAAAAATCTATTGCGTAGGAATTTAAACGAGAATAATTATAAATTTCCAAGAATTATTAAAAAAATTTTCTCATTTTAATTGTTAAAAAATTTTAATGGGAAGCTATGTAGATAAATTTTGTTGATGCACAATAACATTTAATTCTTTACATCAATAGGTCATTACCGGATGAACACTCACTGGACTATATAAAAAAAAAAAATTTGGTCACCTGATCTTGTTTGGTAAAGGTAATATTAAATTTAAATATTATCTCTAATAAAATATATTTTATTTTTCATCTCAAAATCCTCCCTCACAAATATAAATTTTTAAATTTGAAATTTAGCTGATTTAGAGCGAGACTGAGCATAAATAATTTTTCAGTGGAAAATAATATAGAATTTCAAAAACGAGATTCTAACACAGCGCTACCAAAAGTGAAGATTTATCTTGAAAATTTAAATTTTTTAATGATATTTCAAAATTGCAATTTCAGAGTTTTTTCCAGAGTTCACAAAAAAATATTTTTACCTAAAAGTCAATTTTACAAGGGACGCATGGTAACGCTACTTGATTGACAAAAAAATTTTTGATATTCTCCTCGCAATTAATTCTTCATTAATCGACTTAGCGCAATAACTCAATTCGCATACAACTTATGACTTCAAATGTCATGCACAATGTCATTAATTTTTCTTTTTGATATTTGATTTAGTTCGAATGGAAATCGTGATATTTTGGTTTCCTATTTTTTTGAAATTGAACTTCTAATTGAAGATCTCGAAAGGTTCGTAATGATTTTTTTTTTATCGAATCTTCAAAATGAAGATTTTATTTTAAAAAAAAATTAAGATTTTGGGGATAATCTATTTGACAGCACTGTTCTAATACCAAAACTTCGATTTCGAAAATTTTATTATTTTAGAGTTTTAGTCGCTGAATGTAGCTCAACTTTTTAAATTATGACAAAGTAAAGATAGTCTTCTTTTCATATTTATTACACAATATACAAGAAATCGTAAATATTCAAAGATATCGTAAATATTTTACGATTTAAAAATTTTATTTTATTTAAGACAAACTAAATGTTCGAATTTGGTTAAATTTTCATCAATTTCAATTCAAAAAGTCTAAATAAAATTACTTCATGCAAATTTCTACTTTAATATCTTACTCCACCTTGTGGTATCCTATAATCTACATAAATTTAATTTCATCTTTATAGAATATTTAATTATAAACCTCATTATTATTTAATTTACCTTCTCAATAAAAATTACTCTCGCTTATTATGTTCCTTTATTATATCTAGACCTCTTAAGTTTTAATGATAATTTAATATGTTTTAGATGCCAATTTTCAAAACTTATGTATTTTCTTATAATTTCATTTTATATTGCAAAAACAAAAAAAAAAAATTCTAAAAATTTATAATACATAATTAAATTATATTTTTTATGAAGAAAATTATTACAAACATGACACATGATAATTACTGTAAAAGAAAAAAAAATTTTTAAAAAGAACAACAATTTTTCAGAAAACTGAAAAAAAATTGAATTTGGAACCGCAAAATTCATTTGAAAATGAACGCTGGTTTTCAAAGTACTTTTTTTTTAAAAAAAATGTCATAATTATTTGCAGTTTCGCTCTTTTAGCCTTCTTATGAAAACAAAAACAACAACTAGGTACGAGGCACCTTTGATTTTCTGCTCTTACTTTCGTTTTCTCATAATAATATAAAAAACAAAAACAACAACAAAAAATCGCATGTGTCCAGTGCAAATTTCATGCAAAATTTTAAATAAAAAAAAAACTATGAGAGCATTTTATAATTTTCGAATTTTGTAATTTATTGTAAATGGGAAAAATATGAATTTTAATAATGTTGCCAGAATATAGCGGATATTGATACTAAAAATAAATTATTAAAGAAAATTTGAATTTAAAAAATAAATGAAAAATTTTCTGGTTTAGTTTTTCTTTTTTTTTTACTTTTTTGATTACTTTGTGACTGAATTTTGACTGAATAAATGTGCTTAATAAAAAAAAATTTTTTAAAATTTTACACACTTTGTCTATAAAGATCTTAAAAAATAAAACAAGAAAACAAAAGTCTATTTTATAATTTATTTGTTGCATAGATCATGGAACACTGACTGAAATGCTAAAAGGGAAATTAATCTTTTTTGATGCTTATATTTTGAATGAAAATTTTTTTATTTGAAATTAAAAAAAAAAATGTTATTAATAAGTTCAATGAACGTCATACAACAAAGTTGTTGAAGTGAAAAGGTGATTTTTCAATATAAGAGAAAAAAAAAAGTACATAAATCGCCGCCTTGCCTCGCAAATGCATCATACATAAAAAATTGAAACAGAAAAAATAATAAAAAAATATTTAATAAATCTTAAAAGGTGGTGGTAAATTGTCAGTTCATTCTTGAAATACATACATATATAAATATATATTTAATAAAATTTATTAATAGATTTTAAATTTTTAATAAAAATTTAATTTAGATTATTGCGTGAGAAGAATCGTCTTGAATTTCAATGACAATATGAAAACAAATGATCTGAAAGAAAATATGCAATATAGTTTGGTATTTCTGCTCTTCCGTAAATATAGTTTGAATCCGAAAATGAAATTTTGTGACAAATTACTTTATTTATTTGCAGAATCAAGAAGAATTGAAAATATAGATTAATCACAAATTTATTGAAATTCTAAGATTTTATAAAAAAAAAAATGTCTTAAAAATTCGAATGCAATTAATTCAATCGGATGCAAAAAAAAATCCAACAAAATAAAATTTAGTAGGTGCTTAAAACCAAATGGATCCTTAAAATCATTTTGTCGAATTACATAAACAGTCTAAGAGAAGGGTCGAAGGGGAAACTGCAACAATCTAGAACTTTTAGTACGGCCCGCTAAAAGATCAAAATATTTTTTTTTGCTTGAAAAAATCAAAAAATTTAAGAGTGTGAAAGTGATGAAATGTGGTCGGCGACAAAAATGCACTCGAGCAGAAGCACAATGGAAGACTTACTTAATTTGTTGCTGTACGTTTATCTGAACATTTTGGATATAAACACGTTGAAATTTACGTATAGCGGTTCAATACAATAGGTAATGAGAAGTTCATATTATTTTTAATTTATTGATAAAATAGCTCATATTTTATAGTAGGTAAAATTAATAAAATACCAAAGAAAAGAAAAATTAATGATGAAAATTAAAAGAGAATGGACTTTACATTATCCGTATGAAACACGCAAAAATCAGTATGAGAAGTATGAATCTCAATTCTGTTTAAGCTACATTTGCCGACCCACAATATTAGTCTACAATATTTGATTATTCATAAAATTGTACAAAAATTATTTATTTTTAACTTTAAATTAGTAGTTTGAAGACACCCATAAGAATTTTTTCGGTAAACCAAATTTGTTGGTTCCAGTCAAAGATTTTTAATATTTAAAATCTTTAAAAATTCTTTAATAAATTCTTTTAAATCCACTCAATTCCCTTTATTTAATTATACTATGGTAAACTAGAAGCAAATCTATGGAAATGTTGAACAACAAATTTATTTATCCATTACATAAAAATTTCCTATACTCAAAGTTATTTAATTATTGACCCCTAAAATACACGTTAACATTAACATATTGAACTTAATGTCATCATTAAAATTTCAATTCAATTTTTTCAAAAACTAATAAAGTGTAATAAATAAAAAAAATGATTTCCATTCAATCGAGAAATCTAGACAAATTATTAGTCTCAAAAAGAACATTCCAACTTATTCATTTTAGCCTGGTGCACAAAATATATTCAATTTGTAATGAAAAAACGCTAATTTTATAGAGTGAAAAAAAAGTGTTTCAATATTTGTTTTTGCACACCTACACAGAACTATGACCCCACATGCATTTCACATCACACATTTTAAGTGTTTATGCGCGCATACACATGAACACAACACATAAATTTCGCATATGACAAATTATTTTAATAATTTTCACTGATCTGTTAAAAATTATTATTTTTTTTTTTTGGGAAAGGTCTCACAAATTTTAATTATTAACGTGAATGTCTGATTATAGAAAATTAAAGAATAAATTATTTTAAGTTGTCATCTTTAAACAAAAATATAAAATAAAAATGAAATAATAAAAAAAATTTATGAACTTACCTGTACATCAAAATTTTGCGGTTGTTGCAATAAATTTGCTGGTGATTCGACCTGATTCGGGCCCTGTTGTTGATTCATCATTGGACTCTAGAATACGAAAAAACAAGTAAATAATAATAAATTAAAATTTAATTCCTTATTTCATAATAAAAATTTGTAAATTCACTTAATTAATTAAGAATTTAAGAAAAGTAATTTTGTCGTGCCTGCATGATTTAAAATACTTCAAATTTTTTTAATATACCTAACCTATTTTAATTGAGTACAATATTAGGGACCTAATTTATTTAGTACTAACTCTCAATTACTTTTTTTACTTATATTCTAAAACTATAATTATGGAACTGCAGAGAGTATCAATTCTCACTCTCACAAATTATGTTGCTATTACAAATTACTACAATACAATAAAGTATAAACTATGATTGTGATTTTTGTAGTAATGAAGCATTTGAAGTTGTTTAATAAAAAAAAAACAGAAAATAGAAAGATGCCGGAAATCTGGTAGACGCATTCGCCTATTACTATCTTAATATTATTGTAAATAACTAATTACCTGTACCTGCATTCCACCTACACCATTCATCATTGGAGGCTGTAATTGATTATTCATTGGTGGCATTTGATGATGTGGAAATGAATTCATTTGTGGTTGATGACCACCTTGATGTTCCATTAATGCATTAAACATTTGAGCATGATGCTGTTGAAATGCATGAGTTTGTGGATCTAATAGTGCTGGTGGTCTCTGTAAAGATTCTTCTGCTGGTGATGGTTGACGTGAGCCTGGTGTTCGACTACAATAAAAGAAGAAAATTTTTTTTAAATAAAACAATCAAAAATTAATATTATAATATTTAATATGGAAACAAATTATAAATAACTTTTGACAAATTAATATGCTTGCTCGCTTTGTGTAATGGTTTTATTTAAGTTTTTAATAACAATTGCTATTGGACAACGAATAATTTATTTTCCGATTATTGAAGTCCAATATCATTATCACGAAATCGAGAAACAAAAATACTGTTACAAACGTTCGAACAGAATAATTGTGGTTTTTAAATTTAAATCATAAGATCCTACTAAACCTTAACTCAACAATTCAACAGTTAACCTAAAATAAAATTTAAAAACCATTGTTATTTTACTATGGAACCTAAAAATATACAACAATTTTTTACGGTCCTGTTCTATTGCAAATTTGAAATTAGTTTAAATAGTTGTACGCAAATCTAAATTTTAAACTGTCATACTTAAAAATTTCTCATGGAAATAGTATCATTTATCAAATAAAATGTTTACAGTATATTTCAAAGTAGCCTTCACCATTTTCTACCATTTCATATGAATCACGTTATTTTATATAAAGTTATTATGCAATAAATTATCCAAAAAATAATATCGTAAATTAAAATAAATAATAATTGTACATACATAAAACATATTTTTCGTTCCAGTTGTACCCAAATATTGTTTAAAGAATTAAATTTATAAAAAAAAAAAATTATTAAATTTTTGGTGGCAATATCTAAAATCAAAATTTCACCAAAAGTTCCTACCTACATAGGAAAAATTTAAATAGCAAAGCATGGAAAAAATCATAAATTATATTTTGGATTGGATTCATATTGGTTTGTGTCTTCGATTAAAAATTTATATCGTAAAATGTATTGTATTAATAGTAGAAAAGAAATATCACAATTTCTCAAACTTTACTAAACTTAAACTATTTACGAAAATTTAAGAGAAAATATATTAAATGCTTTTTTTAAGAGAAAGCTTTTCTACGATACAAATAAATATGTATATATAATATTACTCTTTAAAATTTGGTTTGACAAACATTCTGTGTTGGAGCTTGGAAATATAAATTAACAAAACTTTAAGTACGTATGTATAATGTATTTATTAAATTCTATAGAAATTAAACAAAACAAAGTATTTACTTTAAGAGAAATTGAAATAAACTTTTATTGTTGCTCTTTAATAATGCCTTAGAAGAAATGCTTTTTTCATAAGCACGTTTTTCTATTAAGTTTCTTGTTTACTTTACATTTTTTTTTATTTTGATAATGCCGGTTAAAAACAAAAATTAATAACAAAAACAACAATAATAATATTAATCAAATAGCATTTTGACTTTCCTCTTAAAAAAATATATAAAAAAGCAAAACGAAAAGCACCATGCAAAAAAAAAATTATTAGTGCTCATTCTCTTATTAAATCGAGTAATAAAATTACAACTACAAGAACAAAAATAAAAAAAATTATGAAATAGAATAAATTTCATGACGAATTGAGCGAAACAAATAACAATAATAACAATCATCAAATCAATGTTGTGTAGCAGCGAAGTGAGGTGAGGTAAATTACTCGGCAAATTATGGTAGTGGTCAAATAAATAAATTGAAAAAATTAAAACGCGAAAAAAAAATGACAAAGCCCACCAACAAACAATTTCTTTTTCTCTTTGCGTTTAAATGTGCTAATAAAATTTTCGCATATAGTAAATTAGTAAACTTATTAGAATTAGAATTTTCTAGTGGTAAAATTATTATCACCACCAGGTAAATATGTATAATACTCATTTATTCAATTATACAAGCATAACATTTTTGTATTATTAATAGATTTTATAATTGTATAGCATAGGCAATTATCAAGTATGGTTTGCAATAGTATAAGTACATATATACTCTAGTATGTAGTAAAAATCGTGATTAAATACAAAAATATTAAAGTTGAAGTTGAATATTTTAATGTTATGATTGTATGAGAAGGAGTGATGAAAACATAATGACAAACACCTTTTACCTTTTAGGAAAAAAAACACTATCGTATCATTATTAAATGCTAATTAATTGGTTGTTAGTGAACAGTTTATAGTAGAGGGAGTGAAATAAAAGTAGATAGACAAAGATAGAGAGAACGAGAGAGAGAGAGAGAGAAACGGAGTTCAATGAACTTGAGTTAAATGTGTATAATTATTTTTTTCTTGTTTATGTTTTTATTGTAATTTTCGTACCTTTTTGTTTTTTTTTTGTTTTGCCATTTTAAATATATTAATTTATTTTATATTTTTTACATGCATACATACGTGTGTTGTATTGTATGTGATTAGTTTTTTTTAGTTCTTTTTCATTTCGGTTTCTGTTCCTTTTATTATTATGTGCTGTTGTACTTCATTAATAATGATTTCATAACAAAAATAGAGAACAGAAGATGTGAAAAATTAAAATAATAAAAAAAGAGAAAACAAATTTGCGAATATAAAAATAAAGTAAGTGAGGTAGATAAACGCGAATTATCTAATGCTAGCATAAATAATATTTCCATACAATATATTGTAATAGCTACGCATTATCAGGGTTGCCATATGGGAATTTAGAAGAATTAAATTAGCCAATTTCTTTATAACCAAACCTAAATTAATGATAAAATGCATGCCTAATTTGATTTTATTGTCATATTCCTATTACGAAATGAAATGCAAATCCTTAATTAATAAAAACAAATCTAATTTGTTGAGAACTTCCCGAAAAAATTTAATAAATTAAAAAGATTCTCTAACATATGTAAGCCTAAAATGTGTGTGTCGTTTATATGAGGTAATATTTTTATGTCATTAATATTGAAATTATGCCATCAAAATTGAATATTGGCAATAAAATAACAAATGACATTTTAAATTTTTAGATTTTCTACGATTAATCTTAAATTTGAAAAATATACATAGATAAGGCCAGACATTAGTATATTAGTATTGTATGCACCAATTTCAAATTTATAAATTACCCAAAGTTACAAAAAATAAAAACTGACCAAGGTTTTACGCAACAGCTTCAAAAATACCCAAACCTTGGATAATAACTCTAGTTTGGCAAACCTGGACAAGATGTATTCCCATAGATTTAATATACATATGTACATTCATATTTATACGATCAGTTATATGGGCGACACACATAATGTACTCATAATTGTAAAATAAAGAAGAAGCATTTTAATATGAGCTTTAATTTAAAATTTATTAAGAAATATTTGAAATTATGAAAAAAAAAATTTAAGCGTGTTAATACAACATGTATGCCTATGTAGGTTTGAATGTATGTACGTACTTGAAATGTCTATTCATAAAATGGCAAGTACGTTACATAAAATAAGATAGCAAGTGTGTTCATAAAAACAACTAATATATTATTGCATTTGCACGAATTAACACTAAAATTTCTTTGAGTTCAAATTTAATTGTTTTAATTATAACTACAAGAAATTATAAAAAAAAAGTTTTTGTGATTTATTTCTTCAATCAGCAAAATTTTTCTCAGTGTATATTGGGTATAGAAATTCAAATTGCGCTTAATAAGATTTTTTTTCTGAACTTCTTCTCAAAGTAATTTTGTTCAATGCAAAACAAAAATTTGTGCAAATTTCCAAGATCGAAAAAAGCATTTGAGAGTTGAATAATGTTGATCACAAAATTTCACAAGATTGGGGAATATAAAATTTCACAGAAACAAATTTCATTTTATAACGGACACAAAAATCTTTCTCATTATTTAATTTTAATAGTTAACTATTTCAAATAAAAAATTTTTTTAATTTTTTATACGAATATTTAAAATGCCCAATTAGTTTCAATCAGTCAATCACTAATTATTATACTGTCAAATTATTGATTAATTGTCATTTTTACCAAAACAAAAAAAATTACATATTTTAATTTGCCTTTTTATAAAATGTTATGAAAAATATGCGAATATTTGCCTAAATTTAATAAAATTAAAAGATGTCATTATAATATTTATTGTCAATTTTCAAATATGGCCACTGTTATGCAAAAAAAAAATAAGAAGACTAACCTAATACAGATGGGTGAATTTTTTTTTATATGACTAATATGGTAATTATTTTGATGTATTTTGACTTATAAAATCATGTGACAATATGCAAGACAAATTAAGCAAATTTTTAATAATAATTTCCTCATATTTGTATTGAGAGCATTGAACACTACTGAAATTAGCAAATACACTATTTCCACAAAAAAAAATGCATAAATAAAAAAAGCATAAATATTTGATTTTTTTTTGACTCTTAAATAATTTCCTAAAAGTCATATCACTTTATTTGGTAATTTTTAGTGAGAAAAAAGTAAGGTCAATTGAGTGAGAAAAAAATTCGCTGAGTCTCAGACGTTCGTGTAACATAATTTTCAACTGAGCGGAAATTTTTCGTGTTACACCTTTTTTCCAAAATCTTCATACATTAAAATTTCTGTTAGCAATAGCTGTTAAAAATTATATCAGTATTAAAAATTTATGTAAGAATTTTAACAGATTTAATAAAATTTTCAAGATACTATCCAAAATCTATATGAAGATTAGTGACTAAACTTAATCTCTGTCATCATTTTAATATACGCATGTATATCATAATTAATATTAAAATTATGATTGGACGGATATGATTCCTAGTTGTTCTATAATTATTTTTAACAGTTATGAAATCTAATCAAACTATTGAATACCATTTTCTTTCTACAGATTGATATTTGATAAGTAGGGAGAGAACACAAAAACAAAACACAATATTAAAATAATTTTAATGCCATATAGAACTACTTAATAAACCTATTACGTAAATTTTTTATTTGGCGGCATCATACCTTATTTTGTTTAACCACAAAAATAATTAATATAAGAAAAATCCATAAACGCTATTTATAATTTTCACGAAATGCATAAAAAAATTTAATTATGCCTCTTGATAGTATAATCTAAATAAAAAATAA